TGATCAGGTTTTATTTATTAACCAATCAGAGCAACTTGACATACAGACCATCCCCCAGCACAGCCAAGTGCAGACCATCTCAAACACCTGCACTCAGGCCCATGGTCCTAATCATCCTCTATACGGACCTGCTGGGTAACGCCACAAAGAACCCAAGAAGGGCTCCCACAGGACATACAGAACATCCCACAGCAAAACCTAGTTCATAAATAGTGAAGACACTGAAGTCAATGGTGGAGATGGGTATTTAAATGTATTCTCTGAGGACCGAATGCATGAGTTTTAAGGACACAGGACAGACCCACGGGTTATCAGAGCTCTCAAGTATCTAAAAAGTCTCAAGTGGGCAGAAAGGTCATCCTGGAAGTCACAAACTTGCATATTCCCTGCTTTGCAAATTAACAATGAGAGGCGGAAGCCTACAGTGGGCGTCACACTAAATGAGGACACATGAATGTTTTCTTCATAGCAATAAGTGTTCCACTGTTGCCAATTCAACCTGGTGGAAATTTTGATTAGTAAAGAAGGGAGTATACAATGAGGACAAAGAAAGAAAACTCATCACTCACAGGTGATACTGAGAATGTACAAATAACTCTTAAGATAAACAATGTTAAGTAGATTTATCAACTGCACCAAATACAAGGTCAATACCCAAAGTGGGTCATATGTTCTGTATACTAAATGCAACCAAAAGTCATATATAAAAACTACAATGGGCTCAGTGGGTAAAATGCTAGCCATGTGAGCCTTTAGAAAAATGAAAAACTGTTTTTAAAAATGAGAAAGAGACTGAAGATGTCACCAAAACATAGTCAAATATTCATTGCACATGAGTAGTTACCGCAGAAGAATCTAAAACTGAGATGTGACACATAAAAATGGCTAAAATTAAAATTCATTGTAAAGTTGTGGACTACCAAGAGTCATACATATACAGATGATAGAAGGGTGAGTTTGAAAATCAGGCAGTGTGTGTGTGTGTGTGTGTGTGTGTGTGTGTGTGTGTTATGTATACAGCATACATAAAGAACATATGCATGTATGTCTTTAAGTATGTTTATATATGCCCCAAACCCAGCACTTCTTTCATAATATATATATGAGAAATTGTGCATATGTTTACCAAAAGATGCATGCAAGAATACTTAATGACACCATTCTACATTACAACCACAAACTGAATTCGACACAATTGTCCTTCAAGAATAATGACTAAAACCATTAATGAAATGTTATCCATCATTAACTAAAAATTACCCATTGCTGTGTGCAATAATAAGGATGAATCATATAGACATAATGTTGCATGAAGGGAGTTAATAAAAAAGCATACGGTTCAATGTCAGTCCACTTAGATCTCAAAATAAGCAGAACTCCTTACTATGGTTGAAATACTAATAGTAGTGACCTTTGTTGGGTGGAAGGTTACTGAGTATTTTAGGACTGAGGTCCCCCATCTCCAGCTAACTATCATTTTTAGGTCTGGTCTCAGTCCCTCAAGGCATACTCCTTCTCACATGGTTCCATCTATCTTCAAAACAGTTTTGGTACATCAAATCCTTCTCACACTTTGAATTGCCACCCTCTAGTCAGCAGGAGGTAAACATCATTTGGGCCAAAATGTAGTTTCCCGCAACAGGCTTTGTGTTAGCTTTGAAAGGGGGAAAGATTTATTTTGGCTCACTGTATCAGAGGTTTCAGTTCATGATAGTTTGAGTGCATTGTTTCTGGGCCTGTTGTGAGGTGGAGCTGCTTACTTCACAGCAGCCAAGAAGCAGACACAGAGAAGGGCCTGGGACAATATGCATCTCTAAAGACATGCTGTAAGTGACTACTACTTCAACTAGCCCCCATCACTGAAAGTTTCCATCATTACCCTGATAACACTATCAAACTCAACCCAGCAGTGAATTAGTCCATTGACTTGATCAGTCTTCGTCATCTTATTACCTCTCCATGACTGGATCCACAAGCTGCGGACCAAGTCCTTCAACTTTTGCAAGGACACTTTCTACAAGGCTTATAGGCATATGCAAGTGTAAAAATTCATTCTGCTGGATCTTTAAATAAGCACAGCTCACCACATGCATATTGTATTTCAATAAAGAGTTAAGTCAGGGCAGAGATAAGGATCAGTTGGTAAAATGCTTGCCACACAAGCATGAGGATCTGAGTTTGGATCTCCTAGCACTCACGTAAAAGCCAGATGTGGGTGTGTTCACTTGTAATCCCACTGAAGGCAGAGACAGGAGGATTCCTGGGGCTTGCTGGCCAGCCAGTCTAACCAAACCAGTGAGCATCGGGTTCATTAATAGACTGTGTCTCAAAAAATAAGGTGGAGAGCAATGGATAAAGACACTTGATTATCTTCTGGTACACCCACCGGAACATGCACACAATGCACACACACATACAGTTAAGTAAAAATTACTGTGTGGACATGTAAGAGAAATAAAACTGACTAGGGATCAAGTCGCTAAGGGAGGTTACTCTTGAAGTGGAACTTAAAAAATAGTTATAATGGTGACAGGTAACTAGGAGCAGGAAGGCAATCTTGGCAAGTTGAATGGCCTGAAAAATGCAGAGGTGGGAAGTACAGAATGTGTGCAAGGAACAGCAAGGAGACCAGTGGGAAACTAAGGAAAGGTCATGGAAGAGACAGCAGGAAATGTTCAAGGAAGAAAGATAGCTCAGGATCAGCCTCACCAGATCAGCCATGGCCTGGAACTGAGGCACTGGAGTTCGGGCAGTACTGGAAGGTGGCTCAGGCAGCAGACACTATGCTCTCAGTCATAAAGGGGTAGCGCTAGCTGTAGGAAGGACTGCAGAGTTGGAAATGGAAGTAACTTCATACAAGGGGGGGTAGAATTATGGTTTATAGGAGAGAGGGTTTGTCATCCAAACCCATTCCCTGCTTTTGTAGACATTGAACCCTTCAGGTTTTCCCCTCCCCAATTTCTCCAAGTTCCTCCCTACCCAGCCAACTTTAAGTTCTATCTCTCTTTCAAAAAACAAACAAATCAACCAGAAACAAACAAACAAACAAAAAAAGAAGCACAAAATACCCCACAGAAACAAAAAACAAGAAAAACAAAACAACAAATAACACAAAAGCAAGCAAGCAAGCAAACAAAAACCCAAAACAAAGCAAAATGAAAAAGTCCACAAAAATGGCATTGATTTTGTTTTGTGTTGGGCAACTCCTTGTGGCTATGGGCCCGCCCTGGAGTGTGGTTAATATACTCAGTGAGACTCCATTGGAGAGGACTGGTTTTTCCTTTACCAGCAGGTGTCAATTGCAGATAGCTTCTTGGTGAGGGTTAGGTTCCTCCGTCCACTTCTACCACTCAGTGCTGGGACCCCACCGGCCTTGAACCTGTGCAGGCCTTGTGTGTGCTGCCACAGCCTCTGTGAGTTCGTATGTGCATTAGTATGTTGTGTCTGGAAGATACTGTCTCCTCGGTGTCATTTATCACTTCTGGCTATTACCATCTTCCAGCCTCTTCTTCTTCATAGCTCTCTCAGCCTTGAGGGGAAGAGTTTGAAGGCCTCCCGTTTAGAACTGAGTGTTCCAGATTCTCTCCCTCTCTGCCCATTGTCCAGTGTGAGTCTCTGTGTTAATTCCTATTTACTATAAGAAGAAGCATCTCTGATGAGGCTTGAATGAGGCACTAACCTCTGGAACCCTTCAATTTTAACTCGTCATTGAGATTAAAGATATTTTCCACTCTCCTTGATAGCTACGCATCACTCTACCACTGAACCCTTGCTAGTGGGATGTGAGTGAAGCAATTCCTTATGACCAGTTTCGCCCCCCCCCCCAAGATTTATTTTTATTTTATGTGTATGGATGTTTTACCTGCATGCTTGTCTGTGAACCACATGAGTACCTGCTGCCTGTGGAAGCAAGAACAGTGTCAGATCCCCTAGGAAAGAAATTATACATGGTTGTACACCACCATGTAGGTGCTGGGAACCGAACTAGGGTCTTCAGCAAGAGCCAGTGCTCTAACCACTGAGCCATTTCTCCAGCCCCACATAACCAGATTTGCAATGGAATGTGAATGTGGTGATGATGATCCAGCTTGAACAGGATAGAACTTGGAGTGTCCCGGAAATAGTGGAGGAGTAGGATAAGCAAGTATAATCTGTGCCTCCAGGAAGCAGCCTGGGCACAACAGTGCAAGTGTATACTGCATTAGGACAGCAGACAACCATTCCCACAGACTAGTGTGTACAGAACCACAATACCACAGCCTATGCAACCACATGCAGTACCCATGAGCTACCTGTGCACATAGGACATATTGCAGGAATGAGTCTTGGGAAATGTCCACACGGAGGTAACTTGAATCTATATTAGGAGGAACATGAGGGCCTCAGTCAGAGACAATAACTTGGTTGTTTCCAATAGCAAAGAAAAGGAAATTGAAAGGAGTGGTAAGCAAAAGGTGAGATGAGGTTAAGATTCTGTGAGTGGACGCTGTGTACAATGTTTTGTAATAAGTGTGGGAAATGTAAAGAACAGACAGTCCCTGCCCTCCCAGGAACTTAAACCAACAGAAAAAAAATGCATTTGTAACAATGCACGAGGGCCTCAGGATGATAGCAGCTAAGGAATTTATACTCTAGTGAAAATAGATTTATGTAATTGTTAATTATATATTATTATCTTTGGTACCAAGACTGAACTCAGGTCCCCGTGCATGCTAAGTTCTTGCTCTACCACAGGGCTCCAGCCCCCAGCCTTATATCCATAATGTTAGTACACAGGCGTGAAGTGAGGCTTTGGAGGTAATAATCCAGTGAGTAAAATACATTTATACCAATAACGGTAATATACGGCAGTGAAGTGGGGGCTGGAGGCATTACTGATATTAAACGGAATAGAACTAGCTAGCCTCCAGCTTCAAATCAACATTTATCACGTTTCCCTTAAGATGTTCTTAAGTTATGAGATACAGAGCTAATTTTTCTGTTTCATTGTCCTTAGACAA